TATATATATATATATATATATATCTATATATTTTAATGTATTTATTAAAATATTTTAATAAATATGTTCCGTGCATCGCACGGGTGAAGATACTAGTAATTTATTAGCATATCAGCTTTTTCGTTTTTTTTTTAGGAATACATTTGAATACTTTTATATTTGTAATCAATATGGAATCAAAATCTAAATAAATAAGATATTTCCCAATTATAGATTTGTTTTCCTTTTTTGTGGACGCATATCTTACATTTTTTATGGAGTCTACCAAAAAAAAGTTAAATCTATATCAATTCATCAGCTAACTAAATAATATATTCAGTTAGCATATTTTTTATGTGTTCGAATACGATGGGAGTTTTCCTGCCTAGAAATAATTAAGATTGGAATTTTATATTTTTTTTTAATTTGCTATGAATTGTTGCCTGCTTTCGTAGGATTTTTTTATCTTTAATTTTAATCCATTGTCGTTGAATATTCGTGAAATTGAAATGATGATTTAATTGTTTTAATGATGATTTCATTATTTTAATCAATGTCGTTGTATATTCGTGAGATTAGAATCTTTATACATTTATAATTTGAAAATAATCTAAAATATACACTTAATATACGTATTTAGGAAATATACACTTAATATACTTAAAACACTTAATTTAAGAAATACATTTACCATACATATTTTTTAAAATTTTTTAAATACAATATAAAACATTTAATTAATAATTGTCAATTAAAGATTTTTTTTTAAGAATCAATCATATTTGTAAATACATTCAATCGTGATTGATAACTTAATATATCATCATACTAAACTAAGACCCATTAGATAGACAAATATATATACTTAACAATATCGGATACACATTTGACAATTATACATAATTGCATTGATGTAGATTCTATTATAATTGTAAATCAATTGTTCGTTATTGTATTTGAACAGGAAATACACTCTATCATGTAAATCAATTATTATAACTGATTACTTGTGTTATTATAAATTGTACTGGGATGTGACTACACACAATCATGTCAGAATGACACAATTTGAGTACGTGTTGAAATCCATTTTCACTGGTTACTCAAATCCCTATTTATATGGACTCTTCCAATTAATTTTGTTAGATAAAAAATACGAAATATTTTCAAATTTTTTTGTCCATAATTATCTAATACAATGCTTTTTTTAATTTTTGCAAAAAATCTATTTATATAGATTATTTCAATTATTTTTTATATGTAAAAATAAAAAACCGAGACGGGCTATTTGATTTCTAAAAAATTAATAGCAATAATTTGGTAATTATTAGTAAATATTTAGTGCGATTAATTTATATGCATACATAATTTTTTATTTTAAGTGAATGTGAAATCAATAATTGATCTAAATCTATTAATTAAAATTTTCAAACTTTTTCAATCAATTATTTTATTTCTAACTAATTTATTTTTATTCTTATTGATATGCTACCATAATATTTGAAGAAATACTGGTTAATAAAATTAAAAATTTGTAATTTAATTCGAGAAAATTAGTTGATAAATTTGAACGATAAGGTAACCGACAACAATTCTAGAAAATTACGAGATTATATATATAATATATAGATATATCAAATATATAAGAGAATTTATTGTGTAGTCCAATTTTGAGTTCCAAATTCATAAGTCAAATAAGTAATTATTCATAATTTACGAGTCTACATTAACTTTGACGTAAATGAAATATTCAGTTATTCATAGTTTAATAAATTATCAACCACTTCAATTTTTTCATTTGAATATTTTATATAAAAAAAATCATCTAATTAATGAAAAAGTATAAGATACATGGTACTTATTATTCAAATATAGTTTTAAATATACGAGAAAAGTTTACTAAAATATTTATTCTATGGAATCACATTGTAATCAAATCGAATTTCTAAATAAAATCTTGAACAAATACACTTACTTTTAAATGAGTGTAATGTAATTTATCATCAGTTATGTGCACCGTACACGTTGTGTATTAATTTTGAATAGACATGTTTTATGTAATTTTGCACAATTTTAAATTTTATATAATATTTTCAATAAATTAATATAGGTAAAATGTATAACATTGATTCTATATTTTTAATTTATAAATATTATTTAATGAGTAATCTATATCTAAATATATGTAAAGAGCCATCCTATTTACTAAATTTAGTAACAAGAAAAGTCAAAATACAATTAATGCATTCTATTTCTATCATTTTTTTGTTCAAATTTATTATTATTTTATTGCCAAAAAACCGGTCACCATTAAATCTTTACATGTATCGGTCATCCAAAAAATCAATTATTCAACCATATATTTATGTTTTTTTTTTTTTTTTGGATTTATTTTATTATCTTCTCTTTGTTTCTCCACATTTTTCTTCTTATTTTCCCGTAATTTTTCATCTTTTCAAATTCACAACACAAAACAATCTCTTTTCTTCCTCTAAAATTCTCCCCCTCCTTAATTTCCTATTCATTTCTAACCTTATCGACTTTGTACATAAATCAACATGAGGAAAAAAAAAGCATGATAAAAAATTTGAATCCTTTATCTGTAGAATTTTTCTTGCTTCTCCCCAAGCTGCGTACGTTTATGTGTACCAGTAGGTTTACTTACTAGGTTGAATATTTATTAAATGAGTTATTTCCATAACTTTTTAATTAAATCAAAATAAACATAAATTCTAAAGGATACATTAATTATAATTTTTCTTGATAAGTTTATAAAATAAACTGATAATTATTATTATTTTAAAAATATATTATATTAATAGGTCCAATTACTTGAGTCAATTTATTTTGTATATACTTTAATATTATTTTTTAGTTATGATATAATTATTACAAATGAAAATAAAACTTTTAATTAATCCCTTTTTGTTGGTATTTTCCCTTATGTTATACAATATTATTTATGTATTTTTATTAATTGGAACAGGTGATTCCTCACTTTTAAAATATTTATAATTATTTATTTGACTAAATACTAATTTCATAAATATTTATAATTAAGCATGATTAATTATAAATAATAATAATATAGTATAAAATATAATTTAAAGCTTTTTTTAATATAGCGAGTTACGAAAACTTGATTATAACCCTATTGTTTTCTGTACTTAACGCTCACAAAAAGAGAGGTGGAAAATAGACGATAACCTTATTACTTTTTAGACTTAAACAGACCGAGTCTGTGAAAATTAACTCCTTTAATATTTTTAGTCATGATCAGTTATACGTCGTTGTTTCACGTGTTACTAATAGGAAGGGGTTGAAAATATTAGTTTGTGGGGACGATGAGTTACCCAATAATCAAACTAATAACATTTTATATAAGGAGGTTTTTAATAATGTATGACTTTATACCAATGAAGAATTTATGTTTACTTTATGAATGTCCTACGTATTATAATAACTTATTAATTAATGACCTTTTAATTTTTTAAATTTTTTTAAAATATGTACTAGCCCGTGCATCGCACGGTTTACATACTAGTACTAGTAAACAAGATATAGACTATCCTACATTGAATTTAATTTGTTTGGATAAGTGAGTTGAGAGTGGAGAAGATTAATCGAGTGAAAAAAGGATTAATTTTTTGTGATTGATATTGGATAAGTGAATTGAGAGTGGAGAAGATTAAATGAGTGTGAAAAAGGATTAATTTTTAGATTTGTGATTGAATGTGAGTTAAATGTTGATTATTAGAGTTGATGTAATATAAAAGTATTAAAATAATGGTGGTAAATGATCGATGATACAAAATATATTAGTTGGTGAGAATTGAATTATTTATGAAATTATTTGATAATGATTGTTTTTTTATTATTTAATTATATTGTTTAATAATATTAGAAAAAAATAAATTGAATCATGTGAGTATTGAAATTTTTAAAATTAATAATTTTTATTCAATTATAGTGATGTTCAAAAAAAAAAAAA